AAAAAAAAAAAAAGTGTGTGTGTGTACGTACACACACACACACACACACACACACACACACACACACACACATACTGAATCCTCCTGAAAAGCAGGTGCTATGACTGATAAGGGTCTGAGGTGGATTTGTGTCAGGATGTCCTGTAGCAGTTGAGAACACTGAGAGTCAAACCTGGACATCCATCCTGGCTCCTGGATGCTACAAAGCCTAGGCCTCTGCATCCAGCCTCTGTACACAACACTATGGACAAAAGAGTCAGGGGGAGGCAGGAGGCCCTGGGCCTGGCTGTTCTCCTTCCACCCCTATCCCCTTAAAGCCCAGCGCTACTCCAGGATACTCCCCACACCCTTTGCAGTGGAAAAGGTCTCCTGTCCCTGCTGCAGCTCAGTGGATCTGATATCAAAGCACAGGCTCTGCTCCTTTCGGAGATGCTTTACTCACAGGATAGCCTAAACAGCGGTCACCCCCACAAGACACCCCTACCCCACTCCCATTTGCACAGGCCAGGCATGCACCCAAACCCAGACGGCAGAACTTGTTAAAAACAAACAAAACAGGGCCAGGGATTTAGTTCAGTGGTTCTGGCACCTGCCCTGCAAGTGCAAGGACCCGAGTTCAATCCCTGGTACCAAAAACAAACAAACAAACAAAACAAACCTGCCTGTTCAGAAACAGAATAAAACAAAACAACTCAGGATGGGAGTGGTGGTGGTGCAGAGCTGCGTATGCCAGCTCTGTAGTTAAGTGACTGATGACCACAGTGGAGAAAGGCTTGAACTCAGTGCTCTAAATTCTGTTGCATCTCTTCTAATATCATTCTTTCTCCTCTCAGGTTCCCTCCTGGGACTACTCAATCTGTGTCAGGAAACCCATGGTGGAGCCCCTCAGCCACTAGACTGCAGCTTGCGAACTGTCCCAGCACCTACTACTACCTCAGTCTCCTTACTGGGTCAGGTTGAGGCAGAGGTCAGGCAAAGGAGCTCAGCTCTGCATCCAGAGGAATGGGAAGCAAGTCTTAGCCCAGGACCTGGTCCCTTCTGTCGTGACACCGCTCCCTTTCCCTACCAGCTCAGATGTGCATTCCACAGCTTGTTACCTGCCAACCAGGTGGCCATACTGTGGGCAGCAGACCCACAGTGTCTCTCCCTCCCTGCCTCTTCAATGATTGCTGATTAAAAGCCTAACTGATTAGGAAGCTTAGAGCCCACAGCTGGCCCCCCTCCTCAGAACAGATTGGGGAGCACCTCCTTAGCATGTGCTCCAAGCCCTTGGGGGCCAGCTTGGACACTCAGCACTAGGTGCTCCACATGCATCCTCCCTTCACAGCCTGGAGCAGTTCAGGACAAAAGTGAAATTGAAAAGCTCAAAGTCAAGCTGCCATTTGTGGCCTCACTAGTTGTGTACCTCTGAGCATGGGGCTGTCTGCTTGGAGTGAGAACTCTTAACCTTGACCTTATATGAGACCCACAGGGATCTGAAAGCAGTGTGGCCAGGCTGGCTATATGTAGGGTCCCTTCTGCCTGAGCTCTGCCGGGCAATGCTGGGAGGCCTGATTCAGGGGAAGGGACCTCTCTCCTCACATGGACATGAGGTGGGCGTGGGTCACCTGAGTCAGTGAGGGTGGAGCTAGTGGAGAGGGGAGTTGGAAGTGCAACACACAGGCCTTAGGTCATTAGATGCAGAGCTCCTGTGGTACGGTGCCAACAGGCTCAGGGACACTGGAGGCCTCCTTTGGGTACCTGCTTCCTCTGAGGCTTAGGGCAAGGCCCTGCCAGGCAGTTTATTCAGCAGAGAGATATTACCAGGGCTCTGGAGATCACGGCAGAGGCAGGCAGGGCAGTGTCAGCATGGGCAGGCTCCTAGAGTGCTTGCTATGGAGGGCACTTGATGGGTCAGGAAGGCTTCCTTGGATGGCCTCTGGAGGATGTTCATCATTGTTAATGAGTGACGGGCTGTAGGCTGGAGACTCCTGGAAGAGAATAACTTCTCTGGCAGGGACACTGCAGGTAGACAGGGCCCACAGAAGTGACAAGACCTCTCCCTTCACCTAGAGCTAGCCAATGAAGCCAAGGACTTGACTCCTGTGTCCTGGGACCCTTGCTCCTCTTTATATGCCAGGGTCCCATTCACCTGGGGAAGGGGAAGCTCATGGATGGGGCCCTTCCCTCAGGCCCAGTATGGTGGGGCAGACAGAGTCAAGCTGGGTGGGGGTCAGGTTACCTTCCTTGGCCTCATGGGGGAAGGGAAGGTCCAGACTCTAGCACAAAAGGCCCTTGTGTGAGCAGCAGGCACCTGGAGGGGGATGGGATACAGGCCACTGGGCAGGACTGCCACTTGGGGACAGGCTAATATCCTGCTTAGGGACCTCTGAGATCACCCAGGGTAACAGTTGTGGCTGGGTAGCCCCCGGCTCTCCTAAGAGCCTAAGTGGGGTGTGGAGGAAGCTGGACTCATCTTGCCTTAGGCAGTTCCAGTGGGAGCCCCCAGCCTTGCCAGGTTGTTGAAATGTGGGAACCCTTCCCAGGGTCAGGCCCTAGGCTACAGCTCAGACTTCCTGGTACCTCCAAGGGCCCCTTTCCTCTGTTAGCCAGCAGCGCAAAGAGAAGCTTCTCCTTGATACTACTAGGGAAGCAGAGGTGGCTGCATGCAGAAGGGGTCCTGGCACATGGGAAGCACTGGCCACTGTCTGGTGAGGGGACAGCTGCTGCTCTTCTCTCTCGGTGCCCGGCCCAGAAGAGACCCCAAGAACTGTGAGGGGAGTGTGTCTGTGTCACTCATCCTGCTTGGCACTGCCCCCGGGACCCCTCACCTCTAGTTTAGTCATCATGTTCTGGAGGTGGGTAGATCTGAAGAGATGGACTTCCTGCCTCCCTACTCCACCCCAGCCCAAGACAAGGGATACCTGCCAAGGGCTATAGCCAGCCTCCACTCCTCCTCCAAAAACCATCCTGCTGGCCACATCCTGGCAGCCTGCAGCCCCCATCCTGGGCAGGTCTGACTGCACAAGTGGAAAAACACCGATCCCATAGTTTCCATGTGAAGTCTTCCCACTGTGGTCTCTCCTCACTGCAAGGAGGAGGGATACAGAGTGTGGTATGGGGGCCGGGGCCAGAGCCAGGGCCAGCCAGCTTCTCTGCTTACGCACCGGGCCTCTTGCCCATCCATTTCTCCCAGACACTACAGGGAGGGGCTGCTACTCCAGGACCCACAATTCTCCCTTCTTCCCTGTCTACCACAGGCAGCCAGAGGACTTGGCTAGGCAGAGGCAGGAGGGCCTGAGGGTTAGGAGGAAGAAGCAATCCATGGCCACTGAGTGCTCAGTGGTTGTCAGTTCTTGTGCTAGCCTCTGTGTGATCACCTCACTGGGTACTCATGATAGCCAACATTCTAAGGTCATGTGGCGAGGGCATGACAGGGCTGGGCTAAGAATTTGGGCTGGGGACCCCGGGGACCTGACTAATAACAGCTGAGTTCTGCATTTGGGGGCAGAGACTGAAGAATTCCCTGTGACCTTCCCTGGCATGGCTGCTTTCTGATCTCTGACTCAGGCTTCTCTGCTCCCAGGAACAGAACATGTGCTCCAGGAGTCCCCTGCTGTCACTCCTGTTGCTGATCTTGGGGTCCAGGATACAGGGCTGCCCTTCTGGCTGCCAGTGCAACCAGCCACAGACGGTCTTCTGCACTGCCCGCCAGGGGACCACACTGCCCCAAGATGTGCCACCTGACACCGCAGGCCTGTATGTCTTTGAGAATGGCATCACCACACTGGATGTGGGCAGCTTTGCCAGTCTGCTGGGCTTGCAGCTCCTGGATCTGTCACAGAACCAGATCACTAGCCTGCCCAGTGGTATCTTCCAGCCACTTGTCAATCTCAGCAACCTGGACCTGACTGCCAATAAGCTTCATGAGATTACCAATGAGACCTTCCGTGGCCTGCAGCGCCTTGAGCGCCTCTACCTGGGAAAGAACCGCATCCGCCATATTCAGCCAGGTGCTTTTGATGCCCTCGACCGCCTCCTGGAACTCAAGTTGCAGGACAATGAGCTGCGGGTGCTGCCACCACTGCGCCTGCCCCGCCTGCTGCTGCTTGACCTCAGCCACAACAGCCTCCCAGCCCTGGAGCCCGGCATCTTGGACACCACCAATCTGGAGGCCCTGAGGCTGGCTGGTCTGGGTTTGCGGCAGTTAGATGATGGGCTCTTTGCTCGCCTGCGCAACCTCCATGATCTAGATGTGTCCGACAACCAGCTGGAGCGTGTGCCCCCTGTGATACAAAGCCTGCAGAGCCTGACACGTCTGCGACTGGCTGGCAACACCCGCATTGCCCAGCTGCGGCCTCAGGACCTGGCTGGCTTAGCTACTCTGCAGGAGCTGGACCTGAGCAACCTGAGTTTGCAGGCCCTGCCCAGTGACCTCTCAGGCCTTTTCCCCCGCCTGAGGCTCCTGACGGCTGCCCGCAACCCCTTCAACTGTGTGTGCCCCTTGAGCTGGTTTGGACCCTGGGTACGTGAGAGCCATATCACACTGGCCAGCCCTGAGGAGACACGCTGCCACTTCCCACCAAAGAATGCTGGCCGACTGCTGTTGGAGCTTGACTATGCCGACTTTGGCTGCCCAGCCACCACCACCACACCCATAGTGCCCACCACCAGGCCCAAGGTGGAGGAGCCCACACTCTTGCCTTCCAGCTCAGCTCCCACGTGGCTGAGCCCCACGGAGCCAGCCACTGAGGCCCCCAGTCCACCATCTACTGCCCTACCAACTATGGGCCCTGCTCTCTGGCCTCAGGACTGCCCGGTTTCCACCTGCCTCAATGGAGGCACTTGCCGCCTGGGGGTGAGGCACCACCTAGAGTGCCTTTGCCCTGAGGGCTTCATAGGCCTATACTGTGAGAGCAGTGTGGGGCAGGGAATATGGCCCAGCCCCACACCAGATACACCAGGACCCCCCCAGCCTCTGCCCCTTGGCATCGAGCCAGTGAGTCCTACCTCCCTGCATGTGGGGCTGCAGCGCTACCTTCAGAGCAGTGCTGTGCAACTCAGGAGTCTCCGCCTCACCTACCGCAACCTGTCAGGCCCTGACAAGCGGCTGGTGACCCTGCGGCTGCCGGCCTCCCTTGCAGAGTACACAGTCACCCAGCTGAAGCCCAACTCTACCTATTCCATCTGTGTTATGCCCTTGGGCATTGGACGGGTGCCCGAGGGTGAGGAGGCCTGCGGAGAGGCCCAAACACCCCCAGCTGTCCTCTCTAACCACGCCCCAGTCACCCAGGCCCAAGAAGGCAATCTGCCACTCCTCATTGCCCCTGCCCTGGCTGCTGTGCTCCTGGCTGCCCTGGCTGCCATGGGGGCAGCCTACTGTGTACGGCGGGGGCGGGCAGCAGCTGTGGCTCAGGGCAAAGGGCAGGTAGGACCAGGGGCTGGACCCCTGGAGCTAGAGGGGGTGAAGACCCCCTTGGAGCCAGGCCCCAAGGCAACTGAGGGGGGTATGGAAGCCCAGCCAGATGGGCCTGAGTACGAAGTGCCACTCATGGGCTACCAAGGACCCGGCCTCCAGGGTGCCCTCCCTGCTAAGCCCTACATCTAAGCCTGAGAGAGATGGAATAGCTAGAGGGCCAGGCTCTCAGCCACCACCCTCTGCTGCCACACAAGGAAGTTCTCAGTGCATACCACAGGGACACATGCAGGGTGGGGCTCTGTGACCACAGCCAGAACCTGTCCCTCTCTGGGCCCTGGTCTCATCTGTGAGCTAGGGCAACCCAGGTGATGAGCTCTAACAGCCACCGGCCTGAGAGTCTGAGAGGTCAGTGTCTGCCAATTCTGCAGTGTGCAATCCGGAGTCTGGTGGCCCTGCCGTGTGCTGGTAACACAGGCCAGGGCCCCAGCCCAAAGACCTGGGGCCAGTGAAGGAAGCCCCTAGAAGGAGCAGGTGAGGACAGCCCTGTAGCTCAAGCCTTGCCCCAGAAGCACAGGAACATGGGAAACTGGAAAGGAAGGTGCCATGGGAACGTGTGGATTTGCTTCTGTTTTAGTTTTAAAAGTATATTTATGAGATCCTTTCCCGTTTATGCTGGGAAAATGTTTTTCAAACTCAGTGACAAGGACTTTGATTTTTTAAGATAAACGATGATATGAAGGTTTTTTGTAAGAAAATAAAAGATAAAAGACACGAGTGTTTCTTGGGGTTGGCCCAGGGTAATGGAATGGGTGCAGGAGGGTGTAGAGGGCCAGCCCTCTGTGGGCAGCTGTGGTGAGGCACCTCTCCCTCATAGGCACCGGGCCTGGGCCTGGAATTGCTGCTTCCTGCCTTCTGCTAACTGGAGTCACAGTGCCTGTGTTAGGCTGGGAGAAGTATATAGCATATAAGGAGCACAGAGCGATCCCTAGAGAGGTCATGCCCTCCTCGAGCAGGTCACTTTACCACCTGCTTCCCTCTGGGGAGGAGGCTCCCTTCAGCTGACTCATTCTTGGGCCTCACAGCTAATTCTAGAGCCAGGTGGCCTCCAGAGCCTTCTAGCAAGTCCTAGGCTAGCCAGGTAGTGAGCTTGGCCCTAGCTCCTCCCTGCTGTCTCACTGTCCCCTGGCCATGTCTCAGCTAGGACGTCCCATTTCGCCATCTGTGAAGAAGGGCCCTGGTTGGGGGGAAGCGTGTATCCATCACTAATTGGTGGGGAGGGGAGGGATGAGCCAGAGCTGTTAGTGGCAGGCTTCGGGCCGGGCCAGAAGGCCAAGTCTGGCCTGCAGATGGAACCAGGCTTGGTGGCCCCATGGTTCTCTACCCCTGTACTGGGGATGTGCTCAGATGCTCCAGAACCCATAGGGGTGTTTTTCAGGAGAGCTGAAGGTTGAGGTGTGACAGGCAGGTATGTGGAGAGTAGCAGTGACCTGGACTGGGTGCAGGGATCTTGGGGGCAGTAACATATAAGCACCTTTTCCTGTTATCCTCCCGAGGGTGAGAGGGGTCACAGCTCTGGCTCAATGGAGCTGGACTTTCAGAGGCCCCAAGCCAGTGTCCTGTGGGTCAGCACCCTGGCCCGCAGCCTCATCCCTGATGGGAAGGAGGCTGCCCAGCCAGGCCCAGGGAGCACGCCCTGCGGCTCAGGGTGTTGATGTCAGCACCGAGTCAGGCCCAGCCACGCGAGGATCTGGATTCAATTAGTGGCTGCTGAGGGCTCTGGCACAATGAGGGAGGCAGTGGGCGGCAGGTCATGCGGGCAGTGGGTGGTGGCAGTGGGCCTGGGTGGGGCCTCTTCTTCCTGAAGTGGTGGGGGCAGCGGCAGCCCAGGTGGGTTTCCTGTAGGCCTGTGTCCTATTAGGGCAGTGCCCGTGAGGAGGCCTCCCCCTTCCCCACCAACCCTGTCAAAGGGGCCTTTGTGGGTCTGTGGCTGCTGCAGATACAGTGGCTGCTGAGTAAATGTTTTTGCTACAAGGCAAACCTGGTTGGGTGGCAGGAGACTCAGGGAAAGGGGCCTTCCGGGAGCAGTTTTCAGAGTGTTCCATCCCCAAATGGGCACTAAGCCAAAATGCAGCCCCTACCCAGGTTCATCCACCGGTTTCAGGCCAGGGACCAGAGGCAGATGTGGGAATGTGCTCACCCCCATCACTGGATTCTGACTGCCACAGGCCTGTGCCATGCGTGCTGCACAAGCAGTCCTCCCTCTCCCAACAAGCCCCTGCACAGAGGAAGAGTGGCACCGCAGAAAGGTGGGACAGGAGCTTGCCCAGATCCCAACATCCGCTCGCGGCTGATGTGGGGCAACCAGCCATGAAGGAGGGAGTGTGGCATACAATTTCCCCCTCTCAGTTCATACCCATCTCTCCTGGACCAGAGCATAAGGCTCCACCAGTCCCTCTCATCCCCGCATCTCCACCCTGTGCCATGCACGGGGTCTGGCACACACAAAGCGCTAGGCAACCTTCTAAGGACGAGTAGGACGGCTTGGTTCCCAGTCTCCTACTCTGCTCACTGTGCCACACTTCCCTGTAGACACTGCACAAACGGTGGTGAGGAAGGAGATGGGCACCACAACGGCAGCCTCTGGGATGAATGAGGAGGGGGACAGGGCATGTGCCTGACCCCTGGCCCCTACAGTTCTTAAGAGCACACACTGTTCTGCCCAAACCAAGGTGGAAAAATCTGTAAAATGGAACAATTACAGGCAGCTGAACAGACACAGATGCCAACCTTCCCCGAGGCTGTGCCCACAGCTGACGCCCCGTGCACTTTCTGTCTTCCGTCTGTGGGGACTCTGCTTGCAGAGCGCCTGGGAGGGAAAGAGACCCATCACCTCTCAGAAGAGCCTGGAGGCTGGCACGCATTCTTGGCCTCCATCAACTTCACGGAGGTTGGAGAGTCCCAGGTCCTTTTCCAAGGGTGCCAGCCTGCTGGGGTAAGGGATCAGGGCTGGGAGATGGTGGGGCGGGACACTGAACTGCACCCAGCTGGGAGTGATTTGAGCAACTCCAGTCCTCCCTGGTCCTTCGAGGCTATTCTTAACCGCTGTAATTACAGAGTCAGCCTGGCCAGTGGCACCGTGGGGTCTGGGCATCATTAACTATTCCGGGGGCCACTCAGGGGCTGGGCAGTGGGGAGGGACCCATAACCAAAGGTGAAGCTTGGAAGGCAGGAAGTGGTGGGAGGAAGAGTACTGACTGCTGATGCCAGGTCCCTGGGCAGTCCTTCGAGGCTATTCTTAACCGCTGTAATTACAGAGTCAGCCTGGCCAGTGGCACCGTGGGGTCTGGGCATCATTAACTATTCCGGGGGCCACTCAGGGGCTGGGCAGTGGGGAGGGACCCATAACCAAAGGTGAAGCTTGGAAGGCAGGAAGTGGTGGGAGGAAGAGTACTGACTGCTGATGCCAGGTCCCTGGGCACAGAGCACCTTTGCTGTGGGGCTCTAGACTGCTCTGATTCCTCCAAGGCAGGGGGGCCCCAGCCGACTCCTTTCCTAACTCCCCAGATCCAGAGTCCAGAAGGCTGACAGCAACCTTTTCTCTTACCTGCTGAGTGGTTTCAGGAAAGGCCCTGCATGCCACTCAGTCTTGCCTTCCTCATCTGTAAAACTACCTCACTGACATCCTCCTTGGGTCTTAGAGTAGGGGATGGAGGGTTCTGTCCCCGTAACCATTTCCCCACTCTGGGGGGCTCTCAGCCAGAGAACCTATGAGCAGGGTATCTTACTGGCACCCTACAGTCCTCCTTGTCTCCAGATACACTCCCCTTGCTACTCCTGGGACTTGGGATGTTCCCTGCCCCCCTATGACTCAGTTTCCTCAGTTGTGAAACGCAGGAAAGACGGCACTGGGTGAGCTAGCCATGCTGGCTCCAGCATTCCCTAATCCCTCTGCCTGAGAGAGCCCTCGCCAGACAATCTGTGAGTCACTGCTGAGACGGGCCGAGGCACCAGAACAGGGACCAAGTCCCTGCCTCCTTCCCTACAGATGGATCGCCAGACTGCTGAGACGGGCCGAGGCACCAGAACAGGGACCAAGTCCCTGCCTCCTTCCCTACAGATGGCCTGGCTAAGTCTCTGAACCTCCCTGAGCCTCAGTTTCCTCAGCTGTAATGTGAGTAGTTGTGTGGACCAAATGGACTGGTCCCTTGTAAGTGTCTTCCACGAGCCTGCTGGTGGCTGGCTCTAAAGCCACTGTAGACCAAGGCCATCTCTGCACAAAGCTGCTCAGGTAGGCAATGACACGGCAGCCTGTGTTAAAAGGATGAGACACCCTGGACCTCCCATGCTGCCTAGGCACCAACTCCATATGGGGACAAACCAGGGACAGCCATGTGGCAGTTACTGAGTGAGCCTCACAAACCCTGGTGGAGTCCAGGTCCACCTCCCAAACCTGCCCATCTGTCCCAGTGTCACTCCATGTCCACCTCCCATCATTGCCTCAGGCCTGTCTAGATCCTGAGGCCCATGGAAACACCCACAGCAAAACCAAGCATGTTCCTGTGCTTCATCAATGTCACAAATGCAGGTCACAGCCCCCAAGCCATGAAAGCAGCCCCTTGGTTGAGGGGTTGAAGGTGAGAGGGTAGGACACACCCACCCACTCAGCTATTCCTGCTGGTAAGGGCTGGAGCTCTTAAAGGCCAAAGTCCAGGCCAGCCTCAAACTCACTGTGCAGTCCATCAGTTCTCAAACTCAGGGATTCCCTTTCCTCAGAATCCCAAGTGCTGGGATTACAGGAATGGGCCACCATGGCCAGCTCCACAATGCCAGATTTCTTTTGCAGAGACCTTGCAGCCCAGCTCAGGTACCTGTACACTCAGGTGACCAGCACTCCACACTGACAGGCTGGGTCAGGAGCCCTTATCCACAGCACTATCCAAGCCCTGGGGACACAGCCCCCAACCCCAGCATGTCACATGGCCTACCCAGATGAGGTGTCCAGGGTGAGGGAGGCCAGGGCACTGGAGAAAAGTCGAGTGTCCCAGAGTTTCACTTCTCGATCACGCATCTGTAGGGAGGGACCAGAGAGAGGGTCAGAGGAACCTGGCCCTCAGCCCCACCCCAGGAGTTCCAGGAACTCAGCACCTGAGGGTGCAGCCTAGTATAGGGCACCTGCCCAGAGAAGTCGGGAGTCAAAGCCAGGGAGGGAAAATTTGGATATTCATGTCCTGCCCCTTTAAGAACTCTTAGGTGACAAGGGACAAGGGGCAGCTCCCTTCTTGGACTTGGTCCCTATAGGGCCACCACAGCTCTCAAGGTCAGGCTTAGCTATTGCAAATGGAATCTGCCAGTTTTCCACAGCCATCAGTCCCCTGGGGTTCTGAGACCCAGCTCCACAGCCAGGCCAGCCAGGCCGTATATGGATAGGCCTGAAACTGGCCAGTAGCTCCCCACCTCCTGATGGCTTCACTGCACCTTCTTGGGGCAGGAGCTAGACATGTCTCCATCTGGTGGTACCTTCCTCAGGCAAGAGGAACCCTTACCTGGTTGAATCCAGTGGACACAAGGTGCTCCTGGGAGCCTGTCCAAGCCAGCCGGCTATCCTTGCTGTTTGTGTGGGCTTGGATGCTCTGCAGAAGGCAAGAGATAGTGCTAAGCCACCAGGTCCCCTATTGGGCATTAAGGCCCCCCATAGTGGGCTGGAGCCAGGGGCACCGACCTGAGCATCCACAGATGGCAAGAGGGGTCAGATCAACT